CCCGCCACAAGGCCCGGGTATGTTTTTTGTTGCAGTTTGGCCGGGGCCAGGCTTGAACCCACCACCCTCGGTACATGGGGCTGGTGCCCTACGCACTGAGCCACAGGCGCTGCCCCAAGCATTTGTTTTCTTCTACCAGGAAATAAAATATGCTAAAGAATGCAAAAGAGCTATAGGACAGGAGCAAACTCTCCACATGTCTCCAAGCTGTTGCTTTTTCCTTGGACATGCAGGTCTCTATAAGGAAACTATGTACAAAATCGTACTGGTTGCTTGCTCTGGGGAATACCATTATGTAGTATTATGGGGAGTACCAGGTATGAAGACACTGGGGAGTATCTCTAAATGTGAAAAGACAGGTACCTATCACTCCTTTTGGCGAAGAGGCACAGATTACCAAACTGGACACAGTAAAACTGGAGTACTTCAGAGTTAGACAATTGCTATAGAACTATAGGGCCTACCAAACTAGGAATCCACCTTGAATAGTGTAGATGTGCTTTTCTTCAAAAGATCAATCCCACAGGAACTAAGACATGGACTCCATCATCAGCACTGGTAATGGAAGCATTACTGATAAAAATACACATGATTCAGAGAAAGGTAGTATGAGGTGCAACTGACCACAAGTGTCTCATGACAAATGCAAAAGCCCACAGGGGCTTAAACATTATTCTAAATATTCTGAAGGAATTGCCTTGCCAAACAACCTCTTCATACATATAATATTAAAAAATATCCAATTTTTCAGAGTATACTAGCTAGGTAAGACACATTTAAATGAAACATATGCCCAACAAGGATGCCAAACATTAGAGTTTGTTTTATTGCATGACGTTTGCATAAGAAAAAATATTATTGAAAACTATAAGGCATCATGCAATTACTGATAAGCTAATTATTAACTGTACACTTAATACAGGTGGACATACAATCTAAAATTTAAAAACTAGTTCCAAAAAAGTACATACAAAATTTAACATGATGAGCTTTTAAATATGGTGGACACCTGTAGTTTCATGTTATTAAAAAGTGCTTCAAATGTACTGCTGTAAAATTGTTTTTATAAATGGCGCGGGGGTGATGTCAGATTACAAACTGTAAAAATGAATTATTTTATGGAATTAGAAAGCTAATAGATGTAGTGTGATATTCAAATTTACTTGAATCAGTTTTCAATTCTCACTCAAATTAAGTTGATATAATATTAATAATCTAAAAAACAACTATTTTATAAGCAACAAAAGTCTATTGAATTCAAGTTATGCATGTTGAGTGATAAAATCTCTGAGTAGGCCTGAATGTTGAGACCTGAAGCCAGTACGGGTTGGTGTTAATCAATGTACTGCGCCATCCAACGGAAGCCCTCTCCATAACCTTGTCTTTTGAGCACACTGCACATAAAAACTTCCAAGGGTCGGGCATTCAGTTCTTTCAGAGATATACTGCCCTAAAAGAGAAGAGAGATATTATGTTGGAGTTTATAAAATAAAACCCCTCTGTCCCACAGAATGATAGGTTCTACTTTAGTACAAAGGGTAACTATGATAAAGCCATAACTGTGATAATGTCCCCCACCAAATACTAGTAAAAATGGGCCAGGCCTGGTGGCTCATGCCTGTAATCTTAGCACTCTGGGAGGCCAAGGTGGGTAGATCGCTTGAGTTCATGAGTTCAAAACCAGCCTGAGGAAAAGCGAGACCCCCGTCTCTACTAAAAATAGAAAAACTGAGGCAAGAGGACTGTCTGAGCCCAAGAGTTTGAGGTTGCTGTGAGATATAACACCACAGCACTCTACCTAGGGTGACAGAATGAGACTCTGTCTCAAAACAAAACAAAACAAAACACAAATGTAAGCAGGTTTGGTACTGGTAGCTCAGCAGCTAGGGTGCCAGCCACATTACTGGAACTGGTGGGTTCAAACCCAGCCCAGGCCTGCCAAACAACAATGACAACTATAACCAAAAAATAAAAATAGCCAGGCATTGTAGCAGATCCCTGTAGTCTGAGCTACTTCGAAGGCTGAGGCAAGAGAATTATTTAAACCTAAGAGTTTGAGGTTGCTGTGAGCTGTGACACCACAGAACTCTATAAGGGTGACATAGTGAGACTCTGACAAAAAAAAAAAAAGCAAAAAATAATGCATGTTAAAGCTTAGGATAAAGTATATGTTCAGAAAATCCCTTCTATACTCTAGCCTATGCAACAGAGCAAACCTTATCTCAAAAAAAAAAAAAAAAAAGATAATAGGCTTGTGG